ATCTATGCAAGCATGAAAATACATAAAAAGAAACTTTTTTACCGTCATTTCGCAAACCAAAAATTAGGATATTTGAAAGAAACATTCGAAAAACCTATCAAACGCAATAATGATTAAAATTAAATTTTAGATGAAATGATTAAAATTTTTATCAGTTATTTCACTGAGCATCATAAACATCCTCTCCAAGGAATAACTGGATTTAAAGTATCCCTTACCCGAATCGGGAACAGCATTCCTGCTGGACGCAGTTCGCGGTTCGCTTGGATAATGACCGATTTGTTGGATTTAAGAGGGGTCACTACCTTATCATCCATTTCTATTTGCTAGAGAGACATACTATTCCCAAGGCAAAAGCAGATCAGCTAAAGTTTAACACGAAACACTATATTCTAGAAGATGTCTTACAACAAAAATATTGTTTGAACGAGCGAAAAAGTAAATACATTACCTTATCCTTTAATGCATCTTCTTTCAGCCAGACAGTCAAGGGTTTGAAGGTTTCCTCTAACATTTCGAGGCGTTTCTTAGCTTTCTCGCTCTTGTCCAGCTTTAAGCCTTCTTTCGCAATATTCATTGTTTTTTTATTGTCGAACTCAGGTATATGTTGCATGACGTAGCCATCCATTGATGATGAGGTTAAATATAAAACTTCGTAACCTTTCTTCACAAGCCGTTCGACGAATGGACTTTCTTCTGCCTGTAAAATTCAGAATGAGTACCTTTGAAGCGATCAGCTAACAGAAGACAATTCTGTACCTCCTTCCTAGTTGCGGCTTCCAAGTAGTAGATGTATTCCTGCCCTGGCTTCATCCTTTGTACATAACCGGACAAAGTGGTCTGCTTCTTCTCGTCGTACGACGAATCAAAACGAACAATCTTCATCAAGCGATTACGATTGCCGTGATCTTCAATTAGGAGCAGTTTCGTGCTAAAATACGACAAACGGTGAGAAGCGAAGACTTTCTGAATTCTTTTCATCACTTACTTGACTCCATATTCTGCAGCGTATGCGTCGGCACGATCTTCAGGAAGTTTTTTTATCGCATCCAACAGTTTGCGGACTAACGTCTTTCGAATCACTTTCAACAGCTTCACCTGCTGGAGAGTTTCTCGACTGACGTTCAGTGGCAGATCATCAGAGTCAACCTACGAAGCATATGTGGCTATCAGTAAACATTGCGTTGTTTCAACATCAACGAACACTTACCACGCCAACAACAAATGAAAGTGCTTTAGGAAAGAGTTCTTCGCTTAAAGAATCAGAAATCAGCACTTTTCGGGAATACAGCTGCAAAAAACCAACGGTTAGATATGAAGACACAGCAACAAACACGAAAACCAATAAACAGTACCTTAATGTTATGCGCTGCCTTCTGGTAGTTCTGCAAGATCTCGCTGGCGCCTCGCTTCGGAATAAACAAAAGTGCTCGAAACGATACAGTGCCTTCGGCAGTGAAGTGGATGTGGGCCAACGGCTCCGAAGAGTCTTTCGTAAATGATTTGTAGAATTCATTATATTCTTCCTCCGTTACTTCGTCGCTACTAAATTGTAATCAGTAAATGGTAGAAACTAACAAATAAAACTGGTTATTTAATAACGTAAAAACACTAATAAAGCAAATCAAAAAAGACAGCCGTTTTACAAGAAAACATTGACACCAATCAAATATCAGTTTTCTAATTTTCTAACTTTCAACCGTGTCTATAAATTAGTTTGAAGCCCCCGTCGTGGACAGTGGGAAACAGACTTAAGTAAGATTGTTTCGTGCAAAGGTTTAACACCAGATTTTCTGAGATTCGTGCTACGTAGGTTACACGGTACTAACATTTACATTAGGCATAGTTCATGGCTGTAACAAAAGTAACACTCATAGGTGCAAATATGATTGGCTCTAAAAGATATTTCTACGAATTGTTTCAGAACGCGTTTGCAGCCGCGGGGCCTGCGGTAAGGGAAAAAATTGATTATCGAAGTTCCAATCTCTTAACAAAATAAGGCGAAACTTGAGTTCTTCTAAGTTTTCCAGATCCAGATTAATAACAAATACTGTCTGCTCACTTGTAATTCGGGAATTAATCTAAGGAACTGTGGGTAAATATTAAATACTATCCAGACACTGCATCTTCCGTTCAAAGAAATGGTAAACTGCATTGAGAAGGAACTAAAACGGAGGGAGCGCCATTCATCAACGCTGAAGTAGAAGCGAATGCGAAACTTCTGCAATGAACCTCCTCAAAACTCCCGGCTAGCAAGTAACCAAGGATGACGGATTTAACACTTTTTAAGGATACTGACACTGTGAAGACGAATATATAAATCTTAAAAGACCTGTGTTTCTGATTCTCCTGTAAAATGAATGTTGTCTGACAGTTCAAAGAAGGCAACTGGTTCATGACTTTATTTCCCCGCTATTTATATTTATACTTTAATTTAGGTACCTATTTTTTATTTGTGCAAAAGCATTTTTTCATCTTGCTCTAATCATGAAATCAAGTTTATCCGTTTCAGCAATGAATTTTTGATTTCGCATAGACCCGAATGAAGTACCGCGAATCCCTCGCTGTCCCCTGTTCATATCACAAAATAGAAGAATATGAAACGTTTTCATTATGCGATATACCACCATGTAGATGGAGGATGTCTCAAAATGTAAAGTGCAAAAATTTCAGATATATATATTCATTGATCAGTATTATAAGTCCATTGTACATTCAGTTATACAACAATCTACAGGGCATCATAAATGCTCATCAGTCGCAGTAGTTACTGGGGGAAAATTGCGTAATTTTACCTTTCTTAAAGTATGCTACCGTGTTTTCATTTCAAATGGTAAATGAAACCTGCTTCTAACTTATCGATTAATGAATAGGATAAATCTCCTGCCCCTGATTTCTCTATATCAGGACAGACAGATAATATCAGCTGCTAGACATAAGATATAACTATTTCAAAGCACAGGTTATCACCGCTGGAGTATTAAAACGTACTTCCTGTGCCAAATTGGTTTTAAGACGTTGACATGCTCCCAATCCCATACGGTCTTTTCAACCTTTTTCGTTTTCGGCTTTTCTTCCTTTTCTTCCTCAACTTTCCCTTCTTCCTCATCTGCTTTGGGAGTTTCCTGCTTTGTTGAATCTGCGTCTTCGACGGGTTCCTCAACGGTCTCAGTCTAAAAGCCACCAAAAATGACTGAGGCATATGCTGGTAACAAGTCTTAATCACAAACTTTGCTCTTCCACAAGAACATATCATAGCTCAGGAACTGACTGTACTTCTTCAGCAGCTGAGTTAAAGTTTCTTCGTCCAAATATTCACGAGTTTCTGGTTTAAAGTGCAAGCTAAAAGAAAATATCAAAATGGGACATACGCTCATCATAAACATCTGTAATACATTTTCAATACTTCGAATAACATTCAAATAGTATTTAACGCGGAAAACATGAAGCATATTGCCTCACCATTTCATCGCTTTACATAATACAGGAAAAAAAAACAAACGTATCAGTGGTGAAACATTGAGCAAGTTTTGGCATCATGTGTTCTTCAAACTTAAAATGGTCACATCACATAAGGCTGTCTTCAAGGAGATCATTAAATCATCCACCTGTTTGTGTCGCCTGGAATGCCGATGTACCAAGAATATTAGGGACAAGATTTGTCGACGCATGCATCTTGCCTAAGCTCACTCATATCTAGTAAACTTGTCATGCGTGAGCGGAAATGACTTAAATCCGTCTGGCGCTGCGTTTTGTAACGCGGGTCAGAGTAGTGCGTTTCGAAACTATGCAATACGTAGTTGATTCCATGATCAAACATACACGTCAACTCGCTGGAAAGATCCTAGATGCAGAGACAATCACCCACTGAACGCCGGTAATCAGATGCCTCGCGCTACAAACTGGTACATGATTAAAATATCAATGCCCATACAGAATTTTACAATCCGTCGCTTCATTCATGCTGCGCTGCTTAATTAATCATATTTCGGAGAGTGTCCAATTTTCACCAAATTATGCTGAAAGGCTTAGTTCCACATAGCTGCTTTAAGAAGTAAATACAATTCAATAAATCTTCCACCTGTTGCGATGACTTTCAACGAAATCTGTCAGCAAACAAACCGATCACATAAGGCCCTTAAACAAAACTAACTGCTTACCTTACTAACCGCTTACCTTACCTAATCCCCAGAACAAATAACAAAGCTAGTTGGTATAAAACACAGAGCCTGCTTTAGCGAAGAAACTTGACGTTGACCTACAAAGTTGCCTGTCATTTCCTCCGGCCGTACGAGAGAAGAAAAAGCGAAGAAACTAGTTCAGTCAGGAGAACATACAACTGAAAAAAATTCAGAAGTCTCAGGACAAGTTGAAAACCGTTCAACATGTTGCAGGTTAATGTGACGCCATTTACTATCAATATTTTTTGTCATTAATGAATGTTAATGAAGCATCAAACAGTAGACAGTTTTAAGTAGTATTTTATCTAAAGCATCTATGATCACACGTTTCCTACGCCAGATTATTGAGAAATCGTGAAAGTTCGTCCATCCAGTGACATATTTTGTTGACTTAGAGAAAACCTATGACCGGATGACCGGATCCCACGCAACAGTCTGTGGTCATGCCTGCGAACATACCTGATAGATGGCCAGCTGCTATGGGCCATCCAATCAGTATATGCTGATAACAGGCGCTTCGTCAGAGTAAATGGCGTTAAGTCAAAACCTTTCACCGCTGGCACTGGTCTCCGCCAAGGCTCTGTTCTACCTTTCTCCAGTTCGTTTTGTATATGGATAGAACTGTAAGTGCAGCCAAGGCAATGAGTATGTCGGTGCAAAATGTGTGGAGACGAGAAAGTTGTTATTTGCAGACGACCTTGCTTCACTGATCTTCTGAAAGATGATCTACAGTGCTCTCTAGGTCCTTCTCTTCTAGTGAAAGGTTCCCAGGGGAGTACGGGGAAGCCGACATGCACGTGAACGCATTTAAATCGAAAAGCCTAGTGCCTTCCCGTTCTCCTGTCCGCTGTTGTTCTCTTCAGATCAACGGAGAAGCAGTGGAGCAGATGGAGAAGTTCAAGTACCTCGGAATCGTATTTACTAATGCTGGAAAATTTAAGGAAGAGATCGACCAGCAAATTGGAGCAGAAAGTGGCGTCCTGCGTGAACTAGCCCCATCTGTTATGATTAAAACAAAGCTTAGTCTGAAAACTAAGCTCTCCGTGTTCAAGTCGATCTTTATCCCCATGCTTACCCACGGTCATGAGTCTGGGAGACTAACAAGCTTTGAATCCGGGTACAAGCTGCTGAAATGGGCTTTGGGTTTTCTTAGACGAGTCACTGGCCTTACACGTCTCGACATGGTCTGGAATACTGACATCCGAAAGAGCTCTGGTGTACAGCTGCTGCTTCTTTAGATTGAGAAATGACAGCTGTGACAGTTTGGGCATTTGTTGCAAAACTCTCCAGAAAGAAAGTCGAAGCAACTATTTCTTGCCCAGCCAATCGGCAGAAGGCCCAAAGGACGGCCAAGATTAACCCGGCGCAAATATATGGAAGGAGTCTGCTCCAGACTCCAATTGCCTTCAGCCGAAGCTCAGACTTCTGGCACAGGATCGGATACATTGGAAGCACTCTCTGACAATTCTACC